AGAAGGGAAAGGAAAAATTATGAGAAAAGAAAAAAAAATGGAAATGAAATCTATGTAAATAGGGAAGGGTGGAGGGGGTGAGGGGCGCACAGGTAATGGGGAAAAAAAATGAAAACCAAGATACATCATGTACAAGTACAAGCACTCAACGATAAATGTAAACGTATACCTAAAATGTACCAATAAAAGAATTTAAGGGAAAAAAAAAAAAACAGTAACAACAATAACTGTCTTACCTAAATGTATGGTGAAAGTTTAACCCAAGGCCCGGACTGGTGGAAGTTTACAAAAAAATGTCCAGATTATTAATCACAATCCAGACACAGAAGCAATAAAGACTTCTGTGTTCCTCTTCTTCCTCCACTTCTTCTTTTCCTCCTCCTCCTTTTTTTTTGTACTGAGGCTTTTAAACCCAGGAGCCTCTCTTATGCAAGGCAGGTGCTCTACCACTGAGCTACACCCCTAGCCTTTTTATTTTAAGACAGGGTCTCCCTAAGAGCGGAAAATACGTTTTATGGAATGTCTAGACTGTCCTCCTAACCCAAAGCTTTCTCTGCTTTGTGTTGTATAGCCCTGCTTATCTATAGCCAATGTAAATTCATGGCTATACAATTCATGTGCTCCTTCCTCAAATTTTACTGTAAAAATGCTGACAAGCTTGTATTTCACAGATAGGTCCAACCAACAGAATTCAAACTGCTACCTAGCTAGCCATGCTGCTAAGTTGCAAAGCCTTGTCCAAACCTCCGTCTTTTTTTTAGCCAGCATATATAATGGCTCAATAAACCCTATCATTTCAAAGAACTCTGTGTTTTAGTTTTGATTTAACATGAGTGATGAGGTTATGAGTGTTTCCTGGGATACGCGTGTGTATAGTCAAAATTGATCTAACTGTACACTGAAAGTTTATTGTATGTTAAACTCAATAAACATGAAAAGTCCACAATAAAAGTTATTTTAAAAACAAAAACAAGAAACTCTGACTCCCAGTCTCAGGGTCGACCCATTTCACCGCTGAACCGCCCCTCCTGCTCCTTAGCTTTCCTCCATCTCGAGACTCCCCTCGCCTCTTCTCCCTTCTCCGAGAGGAAGGCTGAACCTCAAACGGTTCACAAACTTCTAATTAAGCTTCAAAGTACTGTCCACTGTATTACTGGCCCTCAGTTCCCGCCAGAGAAGCCTCATGCTTGCCTTCCCATCGGCAATACTGAGCCCTATATGGAAGAGACGAGGGTCTCTATCCACTCCCTCCCGTCCACGTTCCCAAACACTCATCCACTGAATTTCCTCCGACCGCGCACACCTTTGTCTTGAAATACCGCTAACCGGCACCAAAACAGCGAAAGTTGCGTTCTGCAGCCGGCCCACCCCCGGGCCCGCCGGAGCGTGGGGATTCGAACACCCTCTCCTACGTTACCTGCCACCGGCTGGCCGCGCCGCGGACAGTTCAGCCACCGCGGCGGGATTTTGTTGTGAGCCATGTCTTGGGTCCGAGCAGAGCCGACCTGCGCAGCTGCCTACTCGAGGTCGGCTGGGCACCAGAAGTCCAAGGCACCGGAATCCCCACCGCGATCCGAACGCCACCCGCTCCTATCCGGGCACCTATAAGGGCGGCGCGCCACTTTCATTCAGGAGCCACGGCTCTAGTCGATCCCACAATGCCCCGCAACTTCCGCCCCTGAAGCCCCGCCCCCTCCTTTCCGAGGTCAGAGGGGAAGAAAGCTTAGAGTAGGAATAACACAAGGAGTTAAAGCCTCGGCGAATGGGCGGAACCGAGGTTCCCTCGCCCCGCCCCGTCACTGATTTGGTTTTTTTAGTTCGCCTAAGCGCATGCGCAATTGTTTCCTTTCGGGATGGCGGAGCGAGGTTTGTTTTCTTTTCCCACGTAACCGACCACCCAGAGAGTTCCATTATTGTAAGAAGCCAAGCACCTTAGCGCTCTTGGGTTTGTCCACAGCTTTCTTTTTGTTTTCTTTTCTTTTTGAAACAGGGTCACACTGTGTAGTTCAGGCTGTCCTTAAACTCACTACGTAGTCCAGGCTGCCCTGGAACTCACGGCGATCCTCCTGCCTCTGCCTTCCCAGTGGTGGGACTACAGGCGCGCGGCACCACGTCGGGTTGTCCGCAGCTTTCCTAAAGTCATCTGTTTTACTGATGAAAGGGCCCTTCCCACAGCTTGGTGTCCTGCTCAGATCTGGGTTTGATTTAGCATTTTCAAAATTTCTCTCTATAATGAGGCTCAGGGGGACAGATTTTAGGGAAATTCTAAGGACGAGATGTCAGGGTACCAAAAATGAGAAATTTCTCTTTTGGAGGGGATTAGTCCATTAATCCATTAAGTATTTGAAATTAATTCTAAAACATTTTAGAGTCTTGTTTGTACATTTCTCCAGCCAAGTTTCAAAACATATTTGAGAGTTTCAGAAGGTCTCTGTCAAAAAGAGCTACTAATTATTGCATATAATTGTCAAAGGTCGGAAGTAGACAGTGGACTACCACTGTGTGGCAATGTTCTTTGCCTACCAAATAAAGTTCCTTGTTTTTCCCCTTACAGTTAACCCCAGGTCTTGGAAGCATTTTATAACTGTTGTCCTAGAATGAGACTTTCTTCAGTTACCAGGCAAAATTAAAGTATTAAATATAAATCTAGATGACGGCTAATTAACTATAACGTGTCACTTAGACTTTAAGCACCATTTATTTCTATAGTTGAACTACAAGAGTATGAGGCTGCAGGGAATATTATTTTTAAAGTATCAGTGGGAATTTTCTGGGCAGCTCAGTTTGAATGCCTGGACCCTTTCAGTAAGGATTCTTTTATAAATATATGAAGCCCAATAGCTGTCTCCTTGTGTTAAATCACATTCTTGGTCTATCCTACAATTACATTTGTTCAGAACTTTCAGTGAAAGTGCGAACTGACAGGACGCGACCCAGTTTCCTTACAGACCAATAATCTGCTCAAATGATGCCCAATTAATTCCTTTCTTTGCTGGCAGAGTAGAGTGTATGCCGTACCCAAAATGATTAAATGTGTAAGCCCTAAGCCCCCCTCAAGGATGAGAAAGGTGGCCCTGGTCACATAAATTGACATCTCAGCTTTCCTCCTAGGGACAACTCCATTAGAGACTCATTCCTACATGAACAGGAAGAGGGAGGGTATCTCAAACTCAACAGTCCAAGAAGGTTTATTATTAAGCTGAGAAGAACCTCTCTGTGCAAGTGAAAGAGAGAAGATTTCTCTTATAGGCTAAGAGGCTTTTTTTACAGGGCTTTTTGGCAGGCTTTTGAGGGGATGGGTCAGAGAAGCAGCAGTCTGATGTGTCCTCTCTGTCTTCTGTGGCCTGCTGACATGTTATCTTAGTTACTTTTCTCTCATTGCTGAGATAAAATACCCCACACACAAAGTTAAAGGAAGACAGGTTTATTTATCTCACAGTTTGTAGAGGTTTCAGTCCACGTTCAGCTGGCTCCAAGGCAGGGTGGCACTTGGCAGAGGGGCAACAGTTCACGACAGTGGAAGTCAGCAAAAACAACAAGGGAACCTTAACAGCGTTTTTCTGCCCCTGTTATCTTATATCCAGACTACCAGGACTAGGGTGGTTCGAAATTAATCAGTGGACTGATTTAGTAATCACACACCATTAAACCCAGCATCACACACTCTGGATTCAGCCACCTCTGAAAAAGTCCTATGACCACATGAGGCTTTGGGGAGACATCTAGACACAAGCCATAACTCATAAGCTGATGAACATACCTCTGTGACCTACTGACATCCTTGGGGGACTCCTGCTGTGTCCTCTGTGACCTAAGTAAAATGAAACCTATATTTCTCTGAGGTGGAGAGGGTGGGCTTATTCGAACTGGCATTGTCCCTGTCCAGACTCAATCATTATATACACCATATTGATATAGGGACGATGTAGGGACCTCTAAATGATATAGGGGAAATATTATAACTCTTAACCTGTTAGATGTGTGATACACCCAGTTCTTGTTCCCTAAAATCAAAGAGTGAATTCTAGGAAAAATGGAGGTTGAGAATAGGAAATATTTATTGAGGGATAGATAGCTCCTGCCTGAGAGGGACAGAAGGGGATCTGGAAAGTGGGTTGCCACAGACTCCACTTACATAAGAGGCTTTATAGAGCAAAATCACAAGGTTGGTACAAAGTCATGGGGTGGGTACAAAAGAGGACAAAACTATGACCAATAAGATTACAAGTATAGTCACTTACGTAATATTGATGCAATGGGGAAGCAAGTCACATAGCAAGTGTACATGGAAAGAACAAGGACCTTTCTTGGAACGGATGGGTCAGGAGGTTCTTGATCCTCTACCCAAGGTGACTGATGCTTATTTAGAATATCAATCATTATTATTTATCCCTTGGGGAAGTACGTAGATCATTGTTCATCCATTGGGGAAGTATGTAGATGTAGTCATTCTGTCTTTATCATGAGCCCTGGCCTTCAATAAATGTGCCTCCAGCCACAATTTAATATTTTCTTCTATTCTGTACTGACTTCTTTGAGGGCCTAGCCCTGTTTGACTGCCTATAATATTTCTAATTAACTTAGCTGTCTATAACAATATCTAGCCAGGAATAGGAGTCCTAGGCAAAGGGAGAGCTTCATAGCACTAGTCAGCAGCTGTTACTGGCTATAAAGTGGTAGTGTGTGTTTAATTTTTACTCCACTATTAGTTATACTCTCTCCATCCTGAGTGCCAATATTGAGAGACCCCATGTCTCCCATTTGCAACAATATAGGGTAGAATAGGAAGGTAGCTTCCAAGTAAGCAGGAGATTTCTCTCTCCCTATAGGAATCTCTTACCTGATAGTGTTTCTGCCTACATGGCTCCTCGTCTCAGATTTCTTATTATTCAGTGAGAAGAAAGCAAATGCCCACAGAGGACCAGCATGGCTCTTCCTTGGATTCCTAGAACCTTCAATTTACCTTTCCAGATATGTCTTGGTCTCCTCTTTATTAGCTGTAAGTTCTCTTCATGGGTGAATTCTTCCATGGAACATTCATTTGTCCATAAGAAAGGGAAGGATGAATAAAAATAATTTTCCTATTAGTGAAAGGGAATTTTCCTCTGAGCAATTCTTTTGAGAAAATTTATATTCATAAATCCTCTTCAACTTAATGTGTATATAAATCTTCTAAAAGCTGAATGAACCTCCTGCCTTTTTTACAAGCCAGGGCCTGAGTGCCATCTCTTTGAAATGTAAACATCAAGGAAGATAGTGCCCCTGTCTCTCTGTCACCTTGGGAGTTTAGCCTTCCTGTTTAATCCTAAAGAACCTTGTTTGAGGCTGTTATCAATGGTTTGTGTAAGAGATAGGAAAGGCTTTGTTTTTCCTTCAGATGATGGTAATTAACTAACCCAGGTGGCCACTCCAATGACCAATCAAACCTTACAGAAGTACAAGTTATGTTCATGTTGAGAACATTTAGGTAAAGGATTGTATGTGCTTGGATATTTAAGAGTGAGATTTCTCTCTCTGAAATTTCATTAGCAGACTGCCTGTGTGGTGTATCATGATGGGCTGATTTAATGTTTATTGAATAATGAAACTCCTTTCTTTCTTTCTTTCTTTCTTTCTTTCTTTCTTTCTTTCTTTCTTTCTTTCTCATATTAGAGGGAAATATTTGGGTTGGTGGAGTTTATTCCCAATTTTCCCCCAGTGCCTTTTCATGTCCCCCTCAAAAGTTATTTCAGAAATGTACCCCTCTCTGAAAATGAATAGTGCTGTCCAAGCTTTGCTCATGGGAGGTCAGTTTCCTGTCCCATGCTTCTCTAGCAATGGTAGATTAAGGGCTGACCCTGTTTATGCTCATCATCAAGTCCCTAGGGAAGTGCTGGTGAACTTTTTTAAAGTTTTCAATAATACTAACAGCCCACTGCAAAATACGTGCCATAGGTTCACCACCACTGCCCTAAGGCGTGAAGAGGATGCTCCCATCTGGCTCTTAAAAGCCAGCAAAGTGTCAGAGAAGGACATTAGCTTTCAAAAAGTCAATCCTCAAAAAAAAAAAAAGAATAAAACAATCAATCCTCATCTTTCTTAGCTAACAGGGACTAACCTGGTGTCACTTGGGCCTCACTCCCTTTTTCATACTAGTGACCCAGCACCTCTACCTCCTGCCTGTACTGTCCAGCTTCAGAGCTTGAGTTGGGTTAAATGTGGAGCCGAGAGGAACAAGAGTCACATCTCACATAGAGTTTACATTCTAAACTCAAAGTATTGGGCAAAAGAAAACAAATTCAAAATTATCCTTCACAGTTGTTTCTTTCTTTGAGCACTGAAGTCATCTGGCTTTCAGGGCCATATTGTAAAAGAAAAAAGTAATCTTTTAACAAAATGACACTTTTCACAGCCAGGTGCTCTTCTCCAAAAGATGTTGTTTCTTATCTTACTCCAGGGCACAGGCTCAGGAAGAAAAACAATAAGCAGTCTCTCCTGCCTACCTACACATGTACAGGTATATTTGTATGAGATGAATGTGGGCTCAACATTACCACATTATAGTCAATTGATACCTGCCAACAACTATTCTAATGTTTTAAACCATAACAAGATTTACCATGAGGATTCTTACTTTCTGGGAGCACTGTGCTGTAGATCACTATGGCCAGGCCTAACTTGCCTCCTCCCTCACATGAGG